TTCCGTAATTACGGCAAAATCAATTACGTAAGGACCCCGTAATTGCAATATTTTTCCACGCATTTAAACCTATCATAACAACCAATTGAATCCACTTCTTTTCCGAATGGGCCATTGAAGTTGGGTTTTCATATTCTTGGCAGTACTACACGCCGGCGGCAGATGTTAAAGACAAATATCAAGGAGTGAATTCAAACTAATTTTATTCTGATTTTTATCTTTTGTGTTAGCTTTGGTTTTCCTTTATCACCTTCACAAATTAACTTTCCCATTTTTATGCGATCAATTTTATCATTACCGACACTGGTATACGGATATTTATGGAAACGATAGTTTTTTTAAATCGACTCTCGTACTGAATAAAAATTACGGGTTTCTAATTTATTAACCAACGACGAGCTTATTCTCTCGTTTGATTAACCTTGCGATTTCCTCGCGACGAAGACTTGTTTTTGCAGCGTTTTCTGCATTATCCGACATTACTGCCTTGTTAGCATTTTATAATAATAATTATTGATGTCGACTTATTGACGATATTCCGATTACCATGCTTCATTTTACATTTAATCATTTCGCGGACTGAATGTTTATAACATTATTTGCGATAAATTTAAATCAAATATTATTTATTTGCGTATAATTTAAATACCGAACTTATACAAAGTTATATCGCAAAGCAATGCATTTTGTGACATTTATTTTACACTCACGACATTTATTTGCTAACTCAAGTCGGCGATCCTATCAGTTTGGTCGAGTGTCGGTGGTATTCAAGTCGACGATAAATCAAAATAAGTTGCCGCATTTGGTAAGACAGTTAATCATATATGGCCGAAATATTGCGAGGAATTGTGAAAAACATCATGAGCAAGGCCAAGTCCGGACTGATATATAACGATAAAACCGTTAACAGAACATCAAGATTTTGTAATAGAAAATGGATCTCGCACAGAATATAGACACTGGCTCATATTTGATTATATATGATAGCAGTTAAATTTTTAGCGGTCCGCGAGGAATCCGTCGTTTTGCTGTTTCTCTGCCGTCTCAATCGCTTTACCGATGCCGAGAAGACGAAGTTGCGCTGGTTCATTACGCAATCTCTCTTTTGTCGTCATATTTCTATTTGATAAACGCGACATTAATTATCACGGCGAGGTATTGGCGCGAGTGATCAATCGCTCTTTTCGCTTATTTGGTTCCAATTCGTCGCGAAAGCTCTTCGTTAAATTTCACAAGATCGTCGTGTTGAAAGGTTATGGATATTTTCCTGTTTATTCCCCAAGTCTGAAACAAAACAGCTAAAAACAGTATGATATTCCATGTTCATATATCAAGTGTTGATATTAACAATAAAGAATGGTTAAGCATTGCTAATCCACACTTGGTGGGGAATTCCCACTATTTAAACGCGTGACTATAAATTAGAATAAAATAGAAACGGAACATATATACCATAAGTAACGGAAAACTGGAACAAGCAAATAATAAATAAAAGTAAAATGGATACAAATGTTTGATAGATCATGTTTGATAGATTGATCTCCTGCGTTCATTAGTCATTTCGCCCGAAGAAGTTGAAACCGGGCTGTTAGCGTCCATCGGTCTTAACACAATTCTTCCCCCTATCTACGGTTATTATGTACATTGGCCATGGCCATGCTAGATAAGATGCGAGAGAAGTTGTAACCAGGTGTGTTGGCGTCAATCGGTCTCAACGCAATGCTATCCCTTATCTACGGTTAAGTTGCGGGAGAAGTTGAAACCAGGTGTGTTGGCGTCAAACGGCCCTACTCAGTTCTTCCCTCTTAACTACGTTAATAATTAACATTGGCCATGCCAGATAAGTTCATAATAGGTTAGTAAATGGCAACGCGTCATGCCGCCCCTCACCAACGTAACAAGAGAGAGAAAAGCGAGAAAAACGGCTGCGAATATCGAAACCCTAACTTCTTCTACTTGTTGAGCTTTCATTTTTCGCAATCGACGAAATTGACTGCTTTGAAGAAAGCTCGTTTCAATGCAATTATTACGACTTTACGTAATTCGTAACTTCCCTTCCGTAACTCCAAATAATTACGTAATTCCGTAAATTACGTGCAAGCCTACCCCTTGCAGTAGAGTATGAAACCGCCACAAGGTGTCAACACAGGGATTTGATAACGTTATTGTGCCCAAAATACGAATCCCAATAAGCCCACATACATTTTTGAGATAATAACCTTCTAGCAAAAAATAAAATTTTTAAATAATTGTTTGAAGTAATTGGCCAAGTACTTGATGAAAAATTTTCCATTGAATATACCAACAAGAGGAACAACATAATAACAAAACGATCCATATGTACACTTTGTAATAAATATAGAAGGATTTGAGAATAAAAATTATATAAATTTCATTCCAGCGATTGTTTGCTACCGGTGTTTCATTTGAATTTTTGCTTAATAGACGAGCTCTAGACTAACGAAATGCAATTACTTGGAGGTTCGTTCCACGAATCGAGTTTTCAATATTTACAATGATGCATATTTCCGCTTCTATTACATGAAAGGAGAGGAAACGGAGGATATGATTAAGGAGAAATCTAAAATTTGTCGGCGTGTAAACGCAAATGAACTATAGACTGTTTTATATTTATTAAAGAAAGGAGTTGAGGTCATGCGAACATTCTGATTAATCATGATCAAACGCGAACAATCGAGCATGAAAATCTCTTTATATTAAAAAAATAATAAAACAAGGAGAAATGACAAAATATCGCAATGAGGGTTGTTTTATGTAAATCAGTATTTCATAAAGTTTCAATTACAACATTTAGTACATTTCTAAAGGTTTAATTCAAAATATCTTTACTTTATTTAATGCACTTCAATATGGGGACCAATATTTGCACGAAGTACATCTAGAATTCTAGTTCTAGACGGTACTCAATTTCCTGCCATGTTCGTTGTACCACCGCAGTTGGCGCGCATATTTTATCACGGTTTGGCAAAATGTCATGGGTTAGGTCAGGGCTACTCAACTATTTTTACCGAAGGTCCGCATAAAAAATTTCAAAAATATTTGGGACCGGTGTTTCCAGAAATGATATTTTGGCATCCTTGAATGTACACTTCCTCGGATAATGATTATTAGCTAAGCAAGATTGTTTATTATGGTGTTATAGTTCTTTTCATATATATTCAAAACTATAAAGGTCATTTTTTCAAAATGAAACTTCAAAGGTGAGGCTAATGATCCAAAATAAAGAATGATGTGCGGTCCGAATTAAATACTCGAAAGGTCCGGATTCGGACCGCCAGTTGAGTAGCCCTGGTCTAGGTCTCTAGGAGGAGAGACGCCGGCGGAATACCACGCCCATTAAAATTTTTGATGTACGATAATAAAAATTCTTGATCATGTTCATTGTCATAAAAATAACGAAAAACTTCTAAAAATCACTCTATAAATAAAACTGCCCACGTTTACAATGAAAGATAACAAGAAGATCACAAAAAATGCAACTTTCTGCCCTACTGGTGATGACATTCCCCTTAGAGCTAATGTTAAAATCTTTTTGTTTATACCACTTTTATTTTTGCGCGTGAGATGGGTTTTGAATGACTTAGGTCTATTAATTGGGGTAGCCCATATGCATATCCCAAGTTTAGGTATAAACCTGTAAAGGTATATAAACTGCATTAAGAAACTGTGAATCTTATACATATACATGATAATGATTATGGAAGCAGCTGACTCTGTTGACCGTACGGTCGTATCGCGCCCGCCCCCCAATGCATACTGAATAACTTTGTGTATTTTGTATATTTTTGATTGTACTAATGCTTGTTTTCTGGTTGACAAACAACAAAACTCTCTCTCTCTTTCTATTACATAGTCTATTAAAGCTGTAACGCGACACCCTGTATTATATATATATATAGTAATATTTAATTATTTAAATAGTTAATTAATTTTTCTTCTTATTCGTCTTTTTTAAAACTTTTCCATATATATGTTAGCTTATCAATTGTGCCAAGGATTTCAAATCATACAGTCATGGGGAATTTGTACCCAATAAAACAGGTGACTTTCTCTGGCTTTTTTGTGTCTTGATCTGACTTTTTTAATCACTCGGATCTCGGAAACACTGCCTCGGGGTTCAGGAGTCCCAGGCACAAAGTAAAGCCGTGAGCTGTCCAGGAAAAACGACGAACATGAACATCATAACAGGCAAGTTCAAGCAAGATGATATTTGAAAAATCAGGACGAAAAAGTATGATCGGATTGACATAACAAAGAGGAAAAGGCTTGGATTTTTGACGTTCCACGCTAACGTAACGTTACCTGCAGTGAGATCCAGAATTACTTCTTCAAACACTTCGGTTCATATATCAGGAATAGCGCTTCAACAGCCAAATCTCCCCTCTTGAATGATTTAGTTACCCTGCTACTTTGTTCGACCTCAACCTCTGCTGTGGATTTTCACCAAAGACAATGACCAGAGGTGGGATTCAAAATTTTAAAAACGCGTCTTCTTTTGAACCCAAATCATTGACATAAGGTTTAATTTCAGAAAATATAGGTATACGTTAGCCTACTGCTACAATCGGCTGATGTCTAAAACAAGTAGCCTACGGGTTCGCGCAAACCTCCTGAATTCCATCACAGATCAGGCGAGGCTGTGTCACGTCGCCCAGGTGGCGTCACCAATTTTTGTAATGTACCACTCGATATAAAATTCCATGAAAACCATTTTATTTAATAACTAACCCGTAACAAGCATTGTAAGTTTAGCGTCAAAAATTTGTTCACCGTTGTGGATAGGCGAAGCTCAACAATTTCAACCTTTGAGCGCTCTTATTTACGCCCCAATGATACCAAAAAATTAAATTTGTCACGTTTTTCTAATCCCCAAAAATCACGAGGTTGTTATATATATATTCAGACTTTTTATTCCAATTATACAAAAAACTGGCAAATAGATGGATGTTATGACTTATGAGCAAAAGGAATTTCATATTTATCCCAGAGGAAAGTCAATGAGACGATTTCTCTATATAGGAAAATAATTTATACCTATCACAAGACCATAGGTAGTTTACGGTTGAACTGCTGTATATCACAATTAATGTAAAACACGATATTAATATAATAAATATATATTGTACCAGTTAATGTTTCCACGAACTGAAAACAGCATTTATAATTCTACATCCAAATTTGTCAGTAGTTTATGGAAGTAAGGACACAGAGGGTTTACAATTGCCAGTACTCACTAGAAATATCTATGAAATCTGGTACTGCTTGGTAACCAATATGCTCGACGCACTGAGGTGGCTTGTTTTGGGCTGAGATTCACATAACATAGCAGAACGAAAATACAACACACTAATAATAGACTTTTTTAAAAAATAAAAATAATTTCCATCTGGATTCCATCTGAAGAATTTTTCCTCTCTCCATGAACTTCAGCAAGCTGCTGAAATGTTAATGAGAAAAATTAGATTTTGATTGGTCAAGTTTATTTTTCCAACCTTGATAAAGTAACATGCTAAATTTAAGATTACAAAATTGAACATAGGCTACAATTCACTGGGAAAGGCAAGTCGCGAGGAACCAAAGCTGGTTATCAAGCAGCGACACCCAAGGTTAAAATATACATCTAGTTAAACATTCATAAGATAAGGCCAAAATTTAAGATAAAGAGATGAGTATCAGGAGGATTTAAACGGAGTATTGTATTAAGTCAGTCGCGTGTCATCAATTAACCTCGTTGAACTTGTAATTTCAGTCCAGACTGTAAAATTGAACGCAGACATTTTCAACAGTCACGCAACAAATACCAATACATACTGGTAAGCACTGATTTAGTCGTCTTCAATGTTATAATGTTATTGTCACGGAATTTGTTGAATAACTCAATTAGAATAATTAAAAAATATTCCAATTAAATGTTTCTCTTACGATATTTACAAGCAGGCCCGACCCATCCTTCGTTGCAGGTACACGAGGGAATATTTCCTTCTAGTGTTACCACTCCATTTTGACATTCTAAAAAATTAATTATATATTATATTGACATGTAATACTTCACTCATTACGACTTTCGAAAGATTTGAATATTTAATGTAAGGTGTTGACTCGTGCTTCTCTTGATTGATTGTTTGCCTCAAGCAACTATTTTCACATCAAAGTTTTGCATGATGCTTTTCACCACCATGAAGTTAATATTGCTATTCACTTTGGGCACGCAGTGGCATTGCAAAATTGACAGTCACTTAAATTTATAATATTAAATCAAAGACTTGAGCTTACAAGCAGTCATGTATGGTTTAACGATCGCATCAGCCTTTCTAACAAAGGGGTTATCGTTTTGATGATGATTGACCAAATTTTGCTGATTTATGAAAAATTGTATGTTGCTTTCATTCCCATTAATCGATTACTATAATTTCATAATTGTCGGTGGAATCATAAGACTTACCAAATGCCTTTGGTAACGAGTCACAAGCATAATCAGCGTAACAAGTAACAAGATCGAGGAGTTCAGCCTCTGCAATTTGGCCTCCGGCATCTCTGAAATATTACATTTGAATTAACCAAAATGAATTATGGAATATTTTTTCCAAAATATTGAAAACGATTTCCAGTTACGATACTTGCATAAAAACGTAGTATCGGACTACATGTCTGATACCTACGTGTTGATACTTTAAATATGATAAAAGAAATAAGAAAGGTAGAAATCTGGAATTTTTTCAATAAAAACTTACGTTACAATAAGAGTATATCCTAAGATCAATCCAGAAAGTTCACCGGTAACAGTGCATTTACTTTTATAGTCATCAGTTGTGGTTGGTACTAGATCAGCAACCAGAGACAGGCTTGTCGGAAATTTCGAATACTTTAAAAGAAATTATATTTCATGAATCAAAATGCCATTTTCAGTGCGATATCCGCTCCGCAAACATCGGTTGGCGCAAGTGTACGTGGGCACAAATGCTATGGTTCCGAATAGGGTTGCTATTTCCGGACAAAATTCGAAATCCTGGGGTCGGAATTTTTACAATCTATTTTCAGGATTTAATAATATTGGAAAAAAATAACAAAATATTATAAGCAATTATTTTTATTTCTTACAAAACTGACGCAAATCATGGGAGCATCGGGAGTGTCATCATTAAGACGAGTTCTATTTTGTTGGCAAAAAATCCAAGAGCTGAAAATGTACGCTCGTAGGTTTGATTGTTTGTCGTGCGTCATGCAATGTTTCCTGGTCTCTTCCTGCTTGTCTCATATAGCAGCATTTTTTTCTCAACCATCGACATCGACATATACTGGTCTAAATAATTATTACATAAACTCACCCCTGCTTGTCCGACAACGAAGAAAACATCAGCTGTTGCTGATGAATCCGAATTAGCTGCATTGTACCTTTGAAGAACGTGATACCAAATGCCACAGGTGCCACTTATGAAATGACCGGACATTTCTGATTCGGTGAGGCTCGCATCAATTCCCTCATGAAGTATCTTAAGAAAGTTACAAACTGTATGCCAAGTAAAAGTCAATGGAGTAAAACCAAAATTTGTATTATACTGGTGCTGCATTGGGAAATAACGAATCAAAACGCCGTGACATGCTCCTCACATTCAAGCTAAAATTGAATTTACATACTCGAACTCGTTTGGGGGCTCCCTAAGTATGCGAACCAAAATGGAACGTAACATGGGTAACAGGTTAGGGTTAGGCGATAATTTTTTTCCAATTTTCCTTATTTTAGTCCTATTATCAGTTCGAAGACTAGCCAAGAGCCTCTCGTAGTATTTATAGCTAAAATTATGGCCTAACCCTAACCTAGTACACATATTACATTCCGATGTCCGCCATCTTGGTTCGCATACTTCGGGAGCCCCCTCGTTTGATTATGATTCATCATTACATAGAGTTGTTTTAAACTACAAAACACTACAGAGACATAACCGTAAATCATAAACATCAATTCAATTATTACCCAAACATATGCAAATACTCAAAACACGAAACTTGAATTCAAAACAGCGATTGCAGAATGGTTTAGTGCGACACATTAAGCTTCAGTTTTCGGTTATCACTATCACAAACAGTTCTTGGATGTCATTCGCTAAACTTCATGTATAGCAAGATTTTGAAACATGTCAGTCCACGAGTCCAGTGTGTTAAAAAAAGTCGGCGAAAGTCAATATCTCGAGAAAATGCGAAAATAAAGCATTTTACGCGTTCTCTGATTTGGCGCGAAAAGCTATCTTGAATATACATCAGGATATTCAGTGAATGTCAATCAAGTTGGTGCTTCATTAGCACGTCAGATGCTCGTGAAGTTTAGCAAATGGACCCCCTCATCTTTTGAGTATTTATTTACTCAGTAAAGAAATTATTAAATAACCAATATCGAAGAATGCCAAATTACGCAGCTTACAAGCCACTTCGCCTTTATCATCGTGCACAAAACCCATGCGCACACGTATGATCTATTCTATATATATCAGTTGTTTCCAATCTTTATTCAGACGACCCAAAATATATGGCGACTCAGCAATATGCTCAAATGCAAAACGGCACGTAGTGCTTTCATGACAGCAAAATTAAATTACTAATATATTATACAATTCTTTTTACATAGCATTGATTTTCCCAGAAATTTGTCATTCGTGAGTTATTGAAAAAGTTACGCGGCTTTTTAAACCCAACAATACAATTATCAATCACAGTTCATTAATAATTACTCGATAAAAATAAAATTTCCTCTTAATAGTATCAATAACTTTTAGGTTTTCGTTAAAAAACAGCGACCAAGGAGAATTTTCAGGCGACACAACTTTGAGTCGCGACCCACGCAGTAGGAAGTTATGATCTATATAATAGAGGCACTCACCCATACCGTCCATGTTCCAACGTGTGTTGTTCTCTCAGGAAGTTCCATTGCAAAAAGAAAATCATTCGTATATACTGACCCAACTGTCTCATATGGTGTGACTGGATTACTGCAAATAACAATCCGACGCCAAAACAATAATCACGTATTTGAAAAGACCAAACTATACTTGCATGCATGACTTATAAGTCTGTTCATATCGAATGATACACAAATTACGGTTCTGGTATGTATAATATTAGGCCTGAAAACTTTCCGGTCAATTTGAAACGGCTAAATAGTTCATCTTTGTAAAGTTTTATGCTTGTTATTGAAATAAAAGTATGTGTCCTGCCCTACTGTTTTAATTGTATTTAAAATTCAGCTTTTATGAAATACTAGTCTCAGTACTGAGTGCCATTTGAGACGATAGCCGATCTATTAAAAAATAAAACAAAATACTGTAGATCGAAATTTTAGAGTTACTTGAAAGCTTTATTCAAATTTTTAAGTAAATGCCAATTTTATCCAGTTAACACTCACCTACCAAATTGTCCAAAAATAGCGGATGTTGATCTAGTTCCAATAGTATAGTCGATTTCCTAAATATAAAATAAACATGTTGGTAAATTAGTTGCAATATTTTTTTTAGCAAACATTAGGCCATAAATTGTATCTGCATTTTTTAACCTATCGATAACTCTATACCACTGTTGCGTATATTAACATGATACATTACCGTTACAAATTTATCTGCCACATTGTCAACTTCTGCTATGTGCAGACCAGAATCAAGATGTAAATATAGATAGTCGTAGTGATCAGCGACTTTAGCTTGGCATTCTTTCTTGTATTTCATTTTAGAAACGAAATGCGCGGCATGACTTTCTGCAAGTGCAAATAAATATTAAATACATAAGTCTTATTTTATTAATCTAAACTTGTTCATTGAATTTTCGCAAAAATCATTTTTCCTTGTTATCTATTTACACAAACTGGGTCGTGTACGTTACGGTTAGGCTGAATTTTCGATCGTAATGAAAACACGTATATCGTAAATGAATACTGCCGGAACAAAGCACGTCACTGAAAAGTTTGTAAATTTACATAGATAAACATCTTTTATAGTACTCGTAGTCTTTCCAAAAAAACTCCTGACTTCGCTGAACACCAGATCACTGAAATGCGATCGTAGAACTGCCAAAGTGTGTGCAATTTTTAATTTTGATGACGTCATAACACAAAACTTCGAAGGGAAAAACGAATCCCACAAAGCCCACGAAATTTTTGAAATAAATAAAAGTAATAGCCGTATAGCAAAAACAACTATATTCGTGCATTCAGATTTCAAAGCAATTGGTCCAGTCGTTAGATAAAAGTGATTTTTCATAAGAAGAAGATGAGGAAAATAATATTAATAACAAGAGGCTTTCGTGTCCAAAAAATCAGCACAAGAAAGGGAAAGAATTTTTAACGGTCTACAATCGAGTACAAATATACATTTAGTCTCGCTGATATCTTAATTTTTCACAAAGTATATTGTCGTCTCAATTGTTCGAGTATAATTTATTTACCAATTCGGCATTGTTCTTCACCCCATCCCAATGCACAGTCGCAGATCTCTCCTCCATTTGGCTGCAAGGTTATTATATTTCCTTGCTGACATGCTAAAAACAGATGAAAACACTCAACGTATCTAATCCACTGGCATTGTAGCGTATACCTCAAATGTCATTTCAGTCTCTCTTCATTTTTTAAATACATTGTCGACAAAAATACAAAATTATACAGGAAATCATATTTTGTTGGTGATTTTCGAAAGAAATTTCTGATAGCATTCATAAAATAGATTCGACTCACTCGGAAATGAGCACAAGAGAATACGAGGCAATTCCATGGTATCAGAATACGTAGCAACTAACGTACTCAGTAGTGTTCCAAAAACTCTATTTATCAATAAAGCAACAAAAGCACAAAATTTTCTTACTCATATCACAACAATCACCAAAAAAACCTGCTGCACAGGTGCAAATTGGTTCTCCATCAGAGTTGACCCCTTGTGTCCCTGAATCGCAGCAGAAGTGCTCTAATTAAAAGAAAACGCAATTTATTCATTTAGACTTGATATGCAGGGTCGGACGAAACCTGATAAACAGGGGCAAGCTACTCTGCGCATGCTGATGTCCTTATTTTACTGTAAACACGTAATTCTTACTGAAACCAATGTATGCATATTTAGATATATATATATATCTTTAGGAATCGCTCATATATCCACTTAGCCATGTGATAATCGGATATGAAATTCACTCTAAGTACGAGTTATTAATTTGGACGGTTTCTACATAACTTCACGCTAATAACCGAATTGCGTAAGTCATTTTTGGCGATTTTGAGATTTTTATAAGATAGGTAGGTATTTATGTGATGCTGCGCACCTGTCTGTTAACTCAGATTTTATTTTAAGAATTCCGAAACCCATAAAAATGGAGATTTAGTATGACATGCACATTTGTGCAATTGTTTCGTCACAATCAATTATCATTGTTACCGCAGGACTATTGTGACGCCACAAAGGCAAAATAACCTCTGCGAAGTATTTTCGAGTTTTTGCATCTCGGATTCTAGCTTAGCGCGTATTAATTTGAATTTATACTAAAGTATAAGAAGGCGTGCACTTGTGATATTCACTGTCCGAGTCCAATTCACCTTGGTTGGCTTGTATATTAGGTGCATTGCTGTTTTATTCTTTATATTTAATCTTAGTCTTATTTCGATGGGTGGGCAGAACGTGTTTTATTGATGAAATATATATTTTGAAACGTAAAAAATATTGTAATTGAAACTGATTAGCTATTTTGGGGATTAGACATTGTAGATACTAAGAATTACATTCGTTTTCGGAATGTTTAGTTTTCAGGACTGGTGCATATAGTAAAGTTGCAAAATTGCGTATGTCCCAAGTCATAGACTCATTTCTGCCTAAGTCACAGTGCGCCATTATGACGTCACTTAACTGCGTCATACAAATTAACTTGAATCCGGCTACGATCAAAAAATTGAACCATGAGCAGATATGTATGTATAGATGCATTTTCGCCCTTTGTTTCAACAGCGTAGAATCAGACTGTACTATCCCAATATGAAAGATGACCCTCTGATTAAGACTGAAATGTTCGAACATAAACCACAAAAACATAATGCAAAATAATTAGGTCGTCGAAAATAAATTATAACAAAACTTACCCACTATTTCAGCACAAAATTTTTCCGTTAGTATATCTGTGATGTCGCCAACATTTTGCAGAGTCATTTCATTAGTCTGTGTTCTGAAATATTCAAAATGGATATCGCATACCAACAAAAAATAAGTTGCTTTTACAGTTCAAAATGTTTGTCATGCTCGATTATTTTGAACTTGTAATTAACCTTAATTGATGCAATTGTCGTTATCATCAATTTAAAAAATAGTTGTTCTACTTGCGGCGTCTTGACATAAAATTGCTTACTGTTGGACAAGTTGGGAAAAACTTACTTCATGAACAGCGCAGATCCAAATAAAATATATCTTTGCCCGAATAAAACGCGTACCTCGGATAGAGTACTACTAGATTGTATCGACAAAGGTATATCTCTGACAGTCTGAAAATAAAATTGAACAAAACACTAAATTTATTTAATGCACGGTCGGGTATTGTTTGATACTTTGATAATTCAATGGTTTTGAAACTTGCATGTCCCGTAGCCCGTTACATCATAATCGCAGTTCAATGAGATCTGTCATCCACGTTAAAGAATGTGAATATGGTACTTGTAGAGATGGTAAATTGAAATGTTCATGCAACGGCCTTTCGTTGAACAAACTATTCAACAGCAATAAACTATAATAAACAATACCTGGCCATAGGATTGAACTGCAAAATGAATAACGATGATTGTTTCGTGACTTGTGAATTGTGTTTGAGTCGCCACATACGAATAAGTGCATTGATTATTGGTCAATACATTCGTACCCGTTCCATAGTTAGTGGAGGGTAAAACGTCAACGCTTCCAGTTTCCGATACTGATTTGTAACTTGTGAAGACCTATATGAAGTGTAACAAGTTTACATATACACTAGTGTTTTATTGGTCTATATTTATTCAGCTTTTCTTACTTTATGGAATCCTTCTTCGTGATATCTATTCTCATTAGGCAACCATACAACTTCAACAAATGGAAAAATTCCGTGCTGGGCCCACTCAAAATCATCCACGCTGCAACAAGACTGATGTTATTTAGCATGAATATATATATATATATATAAATAACATGTCAAAGGAATTATTGAACATACCAAATCAGGCAATATTGATACCATTTTCAGCCGTTAGAGTTATTTTATAGATATAATTTCAACTAATGTCGACTAGGCAATATAAATAGGAATGCAATATTTTGCCATTACAAAAAATAGTTAAAAAATAATTGAATTATTCCAATGCATTTATTGAACAACAAACCTTCCGTGCTCGTTTGTTCCATACGATTCTGGGCGATAAACCTGTCTATCGTATCCAAATTCCTAAACATAACATATATTATTGTATTTGTTAAGGGAGTTTCCCAGCATTCAGTCACATGGTTTGAAATAGAAAAAAATTGAATAGTCTATAACTCTATATCTATTCGAAAATCTAAATTACATTGTGACTTCATGATGGCCGAAATCAAAACACGAGGATATATCCTGCAGATGTGAGCAACTGCCCGTCGATGAAATGATGGCGTACTATGATGGTATTGCAAATTTTTAGTATAGATTACAATATTAGTGCTCCAAATATAATGTAACAACTTTACACAAACAAATATTGAATGTGCACTTAAAAAGGTGGTTTGACATTTTATGCGAATATTCGACATGTGTGATTTCGAGAATTTAGGTATATTCACAATAATGAATTAAACGGTAAACATGACAAACTCCAAATGTTCGTTATAGTACTGCATATCTTGCGAACCTCGTTCAACCCCATTAAACTATATTTTAATGAATGTTCACATAAATTACAATATTGCAAAGGTCCAACCTTCAATTCCAACCAAAGTTTGTAACTGGTAAACCTTTTATTAAAGCAACATTCTTGCAAACGCCCGTTCATAAAACTCCTTTTATTGCACTTCTCGCCCAACCACATATTCGCATGTTTTCCATTATGGTTAAAATTAGCAACACAAACCCCTATCAGAGTATCAGTCCGTGATATTGCCAATATTTTCGCGTTACAAATATTTGAATTCTTTGCTTTGCTGCAGAGTGCAAAAGCCAACTAGATTACCGTAGTAATGGTTGCAGAAGTCGATTCTATGCTACTCCCCGAGATTGTGTACGTGACAGGGTTGCTGTTTATACTTGTGATATCAGTGATGTCCGTGTTTGTAATTCTCTGGATAGACAGCCACACTATATTAGCTGCATAAAGAAAAACAAGAGAGCTATGCTCAAATATATGGACACGTAGCGCCACCCAATGGCAATAATTTTGATGACGTCATAGCGAAAAAAAAAGTAATAGCCTTCTGGAGAAAAATTTTATCTTTAACCACTGAAAATTTCAAGGCAATTGGTCCAGTATTCGAAGAGAAAAGCGATTTTTTAAAAATGGAGACGGAGACAAATAACAATAACAACAAAATTTTGAAACGATCGTTATGTCCACTTCGTGTCCAATAATTTCATCGGCCTGCATTGCGGTAAGTCTTTCTGAATTGAATCTTGTGATTGAAAATGGTGACCCAAATTTCATGTTGTATCAATTTTTGTTAGGATGCACATTCGCAAGGGATCAATTGTGATAAATTACTGCCTCAAGTTTTATTTATGATATGCGTTTTAACGCTTTCCAAATGGTTGGTACCCCTCCAGTTGTGAGATAATCTAAGAGGATGATAGTGAGTTTTTTGTATTAAAAACTGCGGAGTAAAATAAAAATGGAAATATACTCGATACATCCCATGTGACTCTTGCCCATCAACTAAAACGAACTCCATTTAATATTAAAATGACAAAGCCCGGCTATTGATTCCAATTTAATATAAAATTGACTCACTAATGGTGCTTTGGCATGCATCAATGTATAGCAATAAGAGAATCACCGCAACCCATCGACTTTGTTGTTCATTCATTCTTTCTTTCACTCCGCGTATTGTAATAAGCGTTAAACAGGTTCTAGACACCAGTAGCAGAGTAAACAAAATACATTCAGTTTGTATGTATATCTTATATATAAAAGTATCATCAGATGAAGTAAACTGGAATATATAAGATCCGCCCATGGGAAACTGCCGTGACTCATAATACTGTATTCCGATTATTGTTTAATATATTTCTGATAAATCATTGACCCGCATGAACCCGAATAACGACCACCACCGCTCGATCAGCTTTGCATGTCTAATATCTACATCATATCAAATATTGGGAATATCTGAAACATAACAGGGATATTGGTATTGCGTGGAATTGTGCTTGGATCATTTTCTTATACACATCTTTCGAATGAAACTATTTCTTCTTTTTATTAGAGCCAGGATGGTGATTCAAAGACGAGAGCGATGTTTAAATAAATGGACACGCAAGCCAAAGCGAAGCAGTAGTCTACAGCAGGGGTTCTCAAAATTTTGGTGCTATGTAGCCCGTAAAGAGGTTGACTATTATATACGGAACTCCACAATAATTATATTAAAATACAAAAGAACACATTGTTACTCGCCGATTAATCTTGTTCTATAAATTAAAATTACCTCATTCAATGACTTTCATGCTCATGCTGATTTGTATTTAAAAATATTCAAATCGCCGTTTTTAATTTTGCTTTTTGTTATTCCTTGGGCAGTAACAAATCAGCCAAGTTAGCCAAGTTAGTATATTAACAAATTAACGAATAGCTCGCGGAGCCTCTTGGTTTCTCTTACGTAGCCCTGGGGCACACAAAAAAACGAATCCCCATGAGGTCCAGATAAATTTTTGAGATAAATAAAAGTAATAATCTTCTAGCAAAAAAGCAAACTTTTCAATACGCTATAAATTTCCAATTAATTGACCCGGCACTTAAGCAGATGAGCGATCTTTTCATGACAATAAGAAAAAATACCAACAAGAAGAACAACATAATAACAAAACGAGTGGGCAGTAACAAATCAGCCAAGTTAGCCAAGTTAGTATATTAACAAATTAACGAATAGCTCGCGGAGCCTCTTGGTTTCTCTTACGTAGCCCTGGGGCACACAAAAAAACGAATCCCCATGAGGTCCAGATAAATTTTTGAGATAAATAAAAGTAATAATCTTCTAGCAAAAAAGCAAACTTTTCAATACGCTATAAATTTCCAATTAATTGACCCGGCACTTAAGCAGATGAGCGATCTTTTCATGACAATAAGAAAAAATACCAACAAGAAGAACAACATAATAACAAAACGATTCATATGTACACTTCTAAGTCTGAGTGGATTTGAGAATAAAACTATATAAAGCGCATTCAAGCGATCGTTTGCTACCAGCGTTTCATTATAGGCAAGCCATTGAATAACGAAATGAAAATCGAGTTCCCAGAATGGAATATGCACAATGATGCATATTTCCGCCTCTATTACACGAAAGGAGAGGAAACAAAGGATACGACAAAGAAGTAATCTAACAAATTACCAGTGTGTAAAAGAAAATGAAATTAACACTCTTTTCTATTCATTAAAGTAAGAAGTTGAGGTGATGCGAACATTTTCATTAATCGCGATCAAACGCGAATAATCGAACATATTTCATTGAAACAATATAAATTTTCAATCGGTTTTTGCAACCAAAGAAACTAATAGTGAGTATAATGTCCGTTCGGGGGACCGTGCGTATAAACATATATATATAGGCTATACCGATATTGGCACTCGTAGTACCAGGTTCGGATTTTCCTTATTTTAGTTCTATTACGAGTTCGGGGACTGTCTCTTTCAGCCAAGTGAATATACCCCCTGTCCATAGGTTTCAGTCCCTTTTCTACACAATTTGATGTAAAGTAGGCGAACAAAACTAATTACCTCCATATTGGTACGCACACTTCTGGAGCGCCACGATGTTTTCAAGTTTTGTATGAGTGAACGTTGGTATGCTAGAGCTAGAGAGTAATTGAAATTCAATTTGCGCTACAGAGGTTCTATCTATCAGTGGTGTTTTCTGAGAGAACTCGACCAATGAAAATATTTCGCTTCCAAATAAAGGGGTTGAAGAGTATTACGTCAGACTTGGGGAACTAGAAAACAACAGAGTTTGAATGGAAATAAAAAAATATTCATTCATGTCCTTCTGTCTCGTTTTACACTTTCACTTCCTAACACAGCACTAATTAAGCAGGCTTCTTCGACTAGAAAATAAATGAAATGTACATGAGATATCTCGACGGTATGAAATATAATTAGGCAATAAAACCACTATGGCTTCGCAATTGCACATATTCCAAGTATACTTGGCTTTGGTGACGAATAATTTTGATATATTTGAAAATGAGGTATTTTGCTGCTTTCTGGCCCGGGAAACCGAGACTTCCACAGGTTTGTATACAACAGGGGATCTCAAACTTTTTAAGTTACGCCCCCTTTTCAGAATTTGTCAGGTCACGCGCCCCATCTCAAAAATAACCAGATAACAATAAGCTACAAATAACAGATAGTAAGGCGAGTTTATTCAAAAAACACTTTGAAAATACATGTACATAATAAAGGAATGTAAACAATAAAGAAATTTAGATATCCAAAATAAGGCGGGCAAGATCAAATCTAACAAATATTTTTATTTTTAATTAGCCTCACTCCCTCTGAAATTTTTTTCTACGGTCCACTCACTGCTTGTGAACCACTGGTGTACAATGTCAATCATCTGCGACAGAAAATTTACAATTTTTTTTTACAGCATTGAATGGGCGTAGAAGCGACGCTATGAATATATTGTCATTATTATATTTGTCTATTCTCGTCGTGAAATGTATTAAAGGTCTTGTGAATATATAATACGCTTCCCACGTATCTTCGCCCACTCCGATTAGCCGTATTTATCTTTCGGTTAAATATTAACCAAGATTTTGCGCCTTTCAAATCTCACCCATTAAGCAATGATCCGCCCACGTCTGACGAAACAACGAGTGCAGAGCCGTAAGTGTGTAGCACAGTATATACCCTGGGTATTCGCATGAATGATGCAAAAAGTTCTGTTAATTTTGGCAGCTATTTCATCCTTGAATTGTGAGTATAAATTTTTTATAAACATATCAAATTGTCTGTCTGTGTCTACTACGTACGAGAATATTGTGTTAGTATGAATGTTTTTTTTACATACATCGTGACGCATGTAGGATTTTATTTATTACATCACAATTAATACCTTTATTTAATCGTTTGGAAGAATAGAAAGAATATTGCTTATGAACATATCTATTGTTATTTCACATTATCCAGCTACCATTACAAAGTTAAAACATGATTGAGGAGCTATAATGAGACCAATTATATCAGAGGTATTATGAATAAAATCAAAAATATAGGGTGTAAGACACCTTAAAAATATTTTCCTGAATTTATTTACTGACACCCATAATTAAGTTCCAACAGCAATATTGGCTCACAAAATTTTAGTTTATGTCAGATAATAATGGTTGCTACTTTTATCTTTTATCACAGATAGAAAAACTGATATATATGACCTATTTCCTAGAAATATTAAACATTAGGTATATAGGTTCTGTAGTGGTTTTACATCTATATTTTCCCAAATTTTTCCATTGTACAAGTATTTACTAACTGTAGTCCATTTTGCCACTAACACTTCTGCTAAAATGCACCCACTCAGTAAATTATAGTACTGGTAAGAAATTTTTCCCAATTAGTGTTTTGAATGCTCATATCAGTTTTTAATTTATATTGCAACAGTGGTGAATCAAGCAGCATGTGAACTTCAATTGGATTTTGAACATATTGTATATGGAGTTCAGGACAAAGAAGTTATATTAAAATGTGGGATTATTTCAGATTTAGACATTAAACAAGTAATATGGTGAGCATGAGACATATATTTGTGTGAATTACAGTATATTAATCCAGATGAGATATCCACCAAATTTGAAAGATTTAAGTTCTTCCATTCTAACATCAATGGGAACTTGTTTGGAGCTTTGTTCGGAATGCAGAGTGCTAATATTGACAATTGATTTCCATTCTTGAAAGTTTTCATGATATTGATTTTTTTAGCCAATACTAGCATATAGAGATCTCCTTAACAATCTTTGATTTGCTTCCATTGCTATGTCTGTCAGAAGATTCATGACAGTGAATTGAGTGGGTCTAGTCCAGAGGTTCTCAAGTGTTTTGGGCTGGGCCTCCTTTGAGCTCTTTTATTAAAACTTCGTCTATTTTATATATTTTTCTGTTGTAAAAGGATATTTGATATACTACTATGGTATCATAAAACAAATACATTGGGCATACTTCCTCAATTTAGTAGAAGGGTGGTTATCAGTGGTTAACATGATATATGACATGCTATCTTCTATCATGTTTCTACAATATTGGAACAGCTATTTATATATTACAAATTACCAGTGAATTTAATATATTTTTATGTCATGATGACTAACAGACATATGGTATTGTCTATGGTGTTTAATTTAAAAGTCGATGTTACTCTTATTCTTTTGTGATAAAAAATATATATGTAAAAATTTTGTATATCCCGATAATCATTATATTGTAAAATTGATTCGTTTCTCCAGCATCCATCTTATACTCAAAATAAGATTTTGAAATGAATCCAATAATACAAGAAAAAAATAACTTTTTTTTATTATAAAGGTATAAAGAGAATGAGTATGATCGTACCCGCCCTGATACAATATATTACTATGAACCAGCGATTTCAATTGATAGACCAACAATGGTATGGGTTCATGTTATGAATTTTAATATTATAGTTACAATAGTGTTATTTATTATTGTAATATGGCTTTAATCTTTAGTAAATTATCATAAATACTATTGTTTACTATAAAATCAAGCCAAGTTTATTTTATTCAACCAGTAAAAACAATTTCATGCAATACAATATTCAAATAAGAGATAATTCTACAAGCTGCTTGGAACCAAATGTGGTTATCGAGCAGCGACACTCGAGGTTCTAATATTAATAGGTAGGTAATTTAATTATATATTCTTATTATTCATTTACTTTTCTGATTTTTACTCAGAATCGTGCAAGTCGCTCAGCAAATGGAACATCACTCACAATTTACCCTCTCATGTTAGCTGATGAAGGAAGGTATCGGTGCCGTGTTCAAGTATGGCAAAGCAATTCAACAATGTCCATACCTGAAGAAAAGAGTGCTACTATGAAACTTGTTGTTTATGGTAAGTTTGCAAATTATGGTTTAAGTTTGCAAATTATTTATAGGGAAGCATTATATTGAATTCATCAATGATCCTGTACAACAGTGGTTCCAAGCCGGGGTCTCGCGGCCCACTAAGAGGGTCACAGTGCGGTTGAAGGGGCCAGGTGCAAAACTGATTTTACAGAGAGGCCAGGAGTGCTATAAGCTTCCGAAACGGGCCACGAAACCTCGGTTGAGAACCACTGGGGAAAGTACCACGTTCGAAGTGAGCTGCCAATCCGCTTAAGATTGGTTCTCAACCAGTGGGTCATGGCCCACTGCTGGGCCACAAAAATATTTTCAAGTGGGCCATAGACCTATTAAAAATTGCTGTCGAGTTGTCGATAAAGTTAGTTAAATTTGATGGTAGTAGCAATGGATGATGCAGTTTTTTGTTACAGGGTAGTGATTTTCACTTAAATGTTATTAAACTGGAAGTGTCGGTTTTCGCAGAAAGAATTCTATGTTTTTCTTGAAGTTTTTCTCCCGCATGAAAATGTTAGTGGGCCACAGAATTTTTTTGAAACAAAAATGGGCCACGAAAGAAAACAGGTTGAGAACCATTGATTGGATAAACGGTCTGCACCACGTTTTTTAAATTGTTGGTTTTCGGAGTTCTGTATTTAGAAGCATCTTTCGTTATTCAGAGCAATGTTTATACAGAAAGACGTTTCATAACTTGGAAGTTTGTATTCGGGGTCTCTCAATAGTGGAGGTTCTACTATATTTCATAATTTTCAGGAATGGGATCTCCTGTTTGCAGAATATGTACATTGTTGGGATTTGTGCTATCTTCCTTTTTGTTTGTCTTTAATCAATTTGATATTAAGTCGATACCATGTAGCTTTCATGGCCAAATCAACAATCCAGTATTAGATGTATAATAAATCTAAAATTCGCTATTTTTCTGGGTTTTAGTCCACCTAATCCATAATTCACTCATGCTATACTGAATACAGTTTGTGATTTTTTTTATTTCAGTACCTCCACAAAGAGAACAACTGAGCACATTTTCAGCACAAAAGAACATCACACTCACCTGTAAAGCATTTAATGCAAAACCAGCAGCACAGATAATGTGGTTAAAAACAACACCACAAGGAGAATCCCAACAACTGTTTTCACAAGTAATTGCAAATGATATTTATGCACCAGAATGTTTTTATCTGAATTTCCCACTATCAATATTACCTTAAATGGAGTGTTTTTCATGTATTTGGCAAGACAATAAGGGCTATTTAATCAGGTGACGTCGATCATCAAATTACCAGTACAGACTGTGTATGAAAATGGCTATTCAGTTTATTCTTCCAGCTGCATAAGCTTGCATGATGGAGGAAATCAATCTGCTTGTGCCAGTCAGTCAGTATCTAGTTAACAAATGATCGCTTTCAATGTTGATGTTTTGAATGTGTGGTTGGATGCAAAATCTCTTTATTATTTGTTCTTAAAAAATCTGTTGACCGTTTCAATTTTTGCTCACCGGTAATTCTCCAAGGCAATCTAATTCATGATGAATTCAGTTTTTTGTAAAAATAGTATTTAATGAAGGTTCATTATAACATTCTAATCTCTTACGAAATTGGGCATTCAGATGCATTTTTATATAGTAACATGTCCGAATTATTTACATTACAGAACCATTAATAAACTTTTAACACTTTTTCACAATCATTTCAGTTCTTGTTCTTCTCGTTTGTTACAGTCCATACATAATAGCAATCGAGCTCAAAGAAAATTTAATTTATACTGTGATATAAGGAATTTTTATAATTAATTTGCAATATGGAATATATATATAAGGCATTTTGTGTTGAAAACTATAAAAAATTTTTGATATGGTTCACAGAAATTTGTCACAAAATCACATGATGAGCTTTCAGATTCAACAGGACATCTCTATTACATGTTGTCGAAAAAGGATAATTCTGTCAGACTGTCGTGTGTTATTATGCATCCAGAAACTAACACAACTGTCTATAAAAATGTTACAATGGGTAAGAAAATGAGATTATTTTTTACCAATATTTGTATCAGAATCTTATTAACTATTTTCATTGTATTTTCAGTGTCGCCTGTTATACAAAATGCAGTAGATATTCTGGTAGACAGGCTCGGAGGGGAAATTACATGTATGTATTTTGTAATACACCATATTTGATGTATTTTGTTAGTATTAGTAACTTTGGTCATAAACTATGGTGGTCATAAACTATGTCTAAGCTTTGTTATCTGTTTGCCCCTACCAAAGAAGATGCGTGCGAATTGTATAGTATCATATCCATCGATTAAATCAAGATATATCAACCAACTTTACTGTTCCAGAAATATTCCTCATATACATGTCATTGTACATATCTTGTCATGTCATATTTTCAGACTCCTCTGTAATAAATCAAGATGATGAGGATTCTGCCGCAAGTTTTGTTAAAATTACGGCAGATCCGGGTTTAGAAATTAACTACAATTCTTCAGTAACTTTATCAGCTTCTGCTCCAGGAGTTTTCCCACAACCCAGGTTTGTTGGCATAATCTTGATATATTAATCATCAATGCTGGACGGACGTCTTTGAATTTCAAGATTAATCAAGTCAAAACTCATAAATTATCTGTGTCTCGAGTCAATCACTCAGTTCAGTCTAACTCAGTGGTTCCCAACATCAACTCAAATTGAAAAAAATTTTTTTTTTCTCAAAATCTCATTACTTCAGAATATGCTCACATCTTAAATGGCATTTGGTGCTTTTGTGGCCGCAAATTTGACAAATTAATATAAATTAATCATTTTTATATGCGTTTATTTCCCAGAAACTACAAAACAGTGAGGTAGCTGCGCTCGTTTGCCATCAGCGAGTTTCTGAAATTGTGGCTAGGCATTATTTGAGCAAATACCAAGCTTTTTTCTCCCTCAGTCATATACAATCACTTTTGAGCAACACTTTAACACCAAATATAAAATACCAATAATTATCAGCAACTACATTCATTCGTGCAAAAAACAACTACCCACATAGATTTCCAGGCAACCCAGTTTTGGGTCGCAACCCATAGGTTGGGAAACACTAGTCTAACTGACGTTAGGTAATGCTGAGTCAGAGGCATTCCATATTTGTCACTTGGAGTATTGGTTAAATGATGACTCAAGTCCAACTCAAGTAGAGTCAATGAATCGTGCATCCCCAACACTTAATCATACAAATTTATCATAATATAAACAACTCTCCACATGACATTGTTTATTATATTTCTAGTTTTGTGTGGTGGACAGGTGATCAAGCCGCTTATTCTGGATCTGAGCTTTACATTTCGCATGTTGATAGAAATCAAATATATTATGTTCTGGCACAGAATCCTGTTGGAAGAGTTCTCCTGTCCGTTCCACTCACAATTGTGGATACAGGTGTGATATTTCTCTTTAGATTATTATCATGAAATTAAAAACTCTAGTATAACTGATTCAGGCTAACATGGCTTGTTCAAACATACAGTATAGTAGTCTTAAAATTGAGATAAAAAATGTCTTTGACCTTGAATCTATCACTTCTTACAGTAGATGCAAAAGTATGTGTGGACATTGTAATTGCAATAAAATGACAACCTTGGGTGTATATTGCCTGATCAGATTGCTCTTGTAACTTGTTCTGTTCATCAGTAGATACTACTCATCGCACATTTAAAACATTGAAAATGAAAGATTGGGTCGCTCTACATATTAGCATAATATATAATAAGACTGCAATACTTTTTATTGAAAGGTTTCTGATATTTTTCAGAAAACGTTGAAGGCAATTCCAACACTACCAATACAACAGGTAATTATTTATTAAGTAAAGTTTTGACTTCACTTTCAATCTATACTAGTTCTCTTATATGTAAGCCTCTCATACTAACACTTCCACATAGCTCGTCGATCCAGTATTAATTATGTAATATCTTTTTCTTCCAGATGATAATAAAACGCCTGAAGATACAATGAATGGGGGATTGATTGCTGCTTGTATCATTGCGGCAATGGTGTTCCTGCTCTTGGTTGGTCTCACCATCTGGTACTGCACTTGTAGAAATCCACCGAATGAAGGAATACCAAATGTACGAAAGAAAAAAGATAGTAAGTGATCTGGTTGAAAAATATTGAGCTCTTATGAGGATATTGAAAGAAAATATTGAAAATTTGTTGTGTTGAGTTCATAAGTCAATCCTCAAAGCTTATAAGAGAGTGCCTGAATGAACCAATAAGAGTTCATCCAAGTATAGGTCATATACGAGTATACATAACTAAGTTGAAAAAGACTGTGGTATTCAAACAACCTATGTACAGCATCTTGGGTAACTCAGCTGCTAAAGAAATACTCACATTTATCCTTCTATTTGCAATCTGAAAAACAGTTAGATGACTGCACCGTAAACAAAATTTGCGGTAGGCTATACGCTCAATATAGCGCTAGGGTTTGAGCTCACCTATGCTATTATTATGCTACTCCTGCTGTTTCTTGCATTAATATGAAGTGGCTCAGGTTTCATATCAATGCATATTCTCTGGTACCTCTCACACAATTAATGTGCATGCAGTTTTTGATAAACCAGTGGATGATTTTTCAATCAGTTATTCTTACACTATTTACATGCAGACTCGCATGTTTGAAACTTCTTTCCTCAATCATGGTTTGGTATATACATTAAGCAGTTAAATTAATTTCAGGTAAAAGACACATAGAGGAGGAAGATGCATTTATGTCGTAAGTATTTTTATGGATTGCTTTAAAAAGTATCAGTGGCTTAAAATTAGAGCTGATTATTATTATTAAATATGAGCTTGCATTAGTCATGAAAGTATTCACCAGATGTTTGTATCTTATGGTGAAGACGATTAAGAAGGGAATTCATAATTGAGAAAAGGAATTCATTTTTTGTAATATCACGATGCCATTATGATTGAATTTTACCTCTATAAATAAAATCGAAATCACTAAATATTTTATAACGTTATTTAATTTTACAGACATCATCAGAAACCCTTGATGAGGACAACGTCAACCCAAACACTTGAGGTTGGTTGAAGTTTTTAAAAATGGAAAATCAAATTTTTGTAATAATCATTTATTTTTGTGTTCCATTGATAACTAACATGGAAATTTAAAGTCACATTGTGTGTTATAAAACGATGTTCAGCACAGATTTAAGATGTCATATACATTTTTGAACCATGGTAGTTGAGTATTATTAATGGAGTGTTGCTATAAACAGAGATGGCCAACTTTTCTACAAAATGGGTCACACATTTTATTTTTTCACTAATATGGGTCCTAGTTTTAAAAATTATCCGCAGCAGTATCTTTCTGCAAGCCATATAATCCTGAGTTGGTTCTACACATTCATACGGTGCTTTTAGTTAGATTAAATTATGGCCTTGATTATTAAAGATATTAGTTTTTATTTTGCAATAATTCTTAAATTTGCGAATTACCTAAAAAATGTGGTGGGTCACCAAGTGGTGAGAGGTTTGCCATTCCTGTTACAGAGAAATACTTAACCTTGGATAAACCATGAGTTGCACATTTTAATTTAAAATCAATCTGGCACCTTTCAATTAATGCTTTTCAGCGTTCTCGTCAGAACTTAAATCAATCATCGGGAGGAAGAATTCGAACTTCTGCATGCTGAACTTGCTTGAGCGTAATTCACAATAATTTATTATAATTATAACTTTCGTGCATGTGATGTGGAAGGTAAAATCAAAAATTGTAATTCACTGAGTGATTAATACTCAAAAATACTTCAAATTCATCTACTTGGATAATCAATCACTATTGAGCTATTTCATATCTCTTTTTCATAGTTTATATATAATGTCATTTTTCCAATAATGTGAATTATTGAAAATCATTGTTTTTATTTCCGCATATTTCTTCCTGCTGACATCACACATCAGGGTAAACGGCAAAACCAAAAAAGAGAGTCACAAAGGTTTGCAACACCAGACGACAGCCCAGTTGTGAGTAAACCACTGAAAAGTGATAAAACTCATACATCTCCTCCAGAATATGCAACTAAACCACGACCAATGGAAAAGCATCTTCAGGAGTATGACGAGAGTGCTTCCTTTGTCGGAGACTATGGTTCCAACGTAGGGTTAGAGAGCAACCCAAGTGTTGAGAATCTACATAGTGCACTGGAGGAAGACTCTCACTCGGAGGAAAGTATTCCTGATTCTGAAGATAGCACGAGTGTAAAAGTACCTCATCGCAGAGAAGATGTTGTTTGAAACTGTGTTTTCGAAAAGCTGATTCAATGCAGAATTTTTAAGCATTTTTGCTTGACAATCCCATGACTTTGAAATATCATGCACATATTATGTCGGATTGTTTTCACATCTTTAATTGTAGCGTGTAATATTGATTTTGTGCTCAGTATATAATTTATTTCAATGTGCCAATTCTGCTTTTAGGTAGTTAATGCTTTGTATATTCACCTATTACATGTAGATTCCACGCTTTTAATTCTGCCATATGCTTACTGTGTTGCTGAGTATAATGCAATATATGTTATATTTGCATAGACCTGTTTTGTGCAGTTTAGAAAATAACTTGCTTAGTGATTGGCACATCACACACTGTATAAGTATTAGAAGGGATTGTTGGATGGAAAAGGGATTATTGAACAGTAACTGACATGGACAGGTATCCGGATGAGGGGTCATGGTTTGCCATATAATTGAGGCATTTTGCCTCTTCCCTGTGATAATTATGAAAATCCTATCCATCTGATGCATTTCACAATAACTATTATATGATAAAATCCAGAATCTCACCTTAACAGTATTCTTTAACCTCTTTTCACCACGACCCACCTCGGGTAATGATACAGAAAATAATGATAAAATTGACAATACCTCTCTTGAGAAAATCGAATCTTGGCTCTATTTCGATGATGGTGCACCTCGGTACTGCTTAACTAATCTTGCAGAATGATATGGTCCCTTTAGTATCAACAACACGATGCAAAAGAGATAAATTTTTAATATGAATCAATATGAAAAAAAGTAAAACAAAATACAAACGCAATACATATTCTGCATGCTTTCAATGTTGTAATTGATAATCTTAAAAGATCTTAAAAATGGCTCTCGTATAATCATTGCATTTCCAACATCATAATAGTGGTCGTAACTTCGCCCCCGCGAACATCACCCTTTTCTACAATGTCACTATCATATGGGGCTGCGAGGGGAAGCTGCCAAACAAGATAGAAGTACTTTTGCGCCAACAGAAGATTTTAAAAACATATAAGGTAAGAGTGTTAGATTGGATATCGATTTCTGGATACGGACAGACATAACACTTTAGGCAAATTGTAAGTTCAAAAGTTTGATTCATGACAAATTTGGCGGTTCGTGTATTATGAGACTAATTATCTGAAGTTGAACGTTATAAATGGAGAATTTGAGTTGCCTTGTTTTGATATTTCATATTTTTGTGACCACTGTGGGTAGATCCCCAATCCATGGTATACACCTTGTCCGAAAATCCCATGCAATTCGGCTTTCATCCTCAACTGCAGTGGGCAGATGATTTGTGGTTACATATCATCACAACCCAGCTATTGTTGTTCCCATGCTTAAGACTGAACCATCACTCTGATTTGATTTGCCTTCTTTGCTAGAAAGTTTTGAACTTTTTACTTTTGAAGCTTTAGATCCATCTTTTGAATTTTTATTTGATTTGACCGATTTCTGTGCTGCGCGCTTTCGACTTTTAGTCGAGCCTTTCGTTCCTGATATCAATGGATGTTCCTCGTCGCTTCCTGCATCTTGAAGCCTTACGTTAACGATTTTTTGTTTGTCTTGATCTTCTTTACCATTCTTCTGTGGTGTTGGCGGGTTGGTTGGATCATTGGCAGGAAGAAGAACACTTTCCTCTGGTTCTTCAACGTCTGGAGATATTGGAAGATACTCAAGGACATCTTCTGCCACGTCTTCTTCATCACTACTAAGAAACACACCGATTGGTTGTACAGTGGTGACGTCAATTATTTCATCACTTTCCTCATGAGCGTTTGACTTGGTGCCTTCCTCAGATTTATCTTCATCATCATCGTCAAATTCGGATTCTCGTTCATCATATTCCACATTTTCATCTAATTCTGAAAAATCCGGAGCAAAAGCACTCCAATTTTCCACCTGATTTTGAGACCATACCGACACCACACCGCTTGATATGGAACAAAGAATTGGGCGAACTGGGTGCCAAACGACATCAAGAAGTTGTTCTCCTCTAGTTCCCTGTAATATTTTGACCAAATTACCCATGCTTTTCTCCCAAATGTATAATTGATGTTGTTTTGCAGATCCAGCGCATATGAACTCACCATCACCCGAAAAACAGCATTTTTTCCATGGTGTCTTATTAACAAGATCTTGTAATTTTTGAATAGCATCAGGTTCTCCTCCCTTTCCACACATCAGAACTTCTTTACTATCATAAACTCTTATAATTCTATCAGCAGTGTTGACGAGAAAACAACTTCCTTTTCTTGCAAATTCTATTTGTTTGATTGCAATATTTGATGTGCCTTGTGTGACACGAAATGAAGCAATTATCTTCAAAGTTTTCACTGATACAACGCCAACTCTTCCTCTAGCATTTCCTGTGAAAATATTGATACCACGTCGATCAAAAGAGGCCACTATGTTACTATCAGAGTCATCTAGCATTGGAATGACTTTGTGTTCACCTTCTCCTGTTAGTAATACTGGAGAATGCTTCAGTGGACAAACGAGAATAAGTGATTCATCGCGAGGATCAAATTGCACTCGCATGATTGGGGAAGGGAATCTGTACATATGTAAACATTCTCCTGATAAGACATCCCACACACATACAAGATTATCTGTTGCTGCAGAAAGTAGTTTTCGGCCATTGCGAGACCAGTTGAGTGAACATACTGGATGTACATGTGCATTATATACTTTGGCAATTCCTCTTGTTAAAAAATCCCACACAACAATTCTACCATCATTACATCCAACAGCAAGCAATGTTCCATGGCGGTTAAAACTTGATGTTACAGCCATAGATCCTGTGTCTAAGGTTCCATCGCTCTCCTCTGGATAGTTTTGTCCAAATGACTCAAGAAGTTCAAGATTCATTTTATGATTTAATGAATGTCTATATATATCTGGGAAATAGCTGAGAAAGATAGTAGTACTCCAACAAAGTTAAATAGCAATGAACAGTATCATAACATGTCACTCATACAGAAAGCAACTTCACATTTGTCATGAAGAACACATATTTTTAAGCAAGGAACATGCATAACGAAAATAGATCAATGTCCATATGTTCCCTCGCAGTCAAAAATAACCAGGATACCAGTTCTTATTAATAGGGTTATGCAACAGTTATTATTAAAACCTATTTGAATACATTTTCAGCGGTAATACTTTTTCGAGCACATTCCTTAATTCTTATCAACATTAAAATCAGATTATCTTATTGCTATTAGTGTCCTAATCTACAGAATCCTGCATATGAAAGATGTCTGCTTTGTGAGTCAGACGACTCATTAATATAACTTTACAACTGCTAACATTGCCATTCGAAAAATGAATCAAATGGTCTATCATTTGAGTAAAATTGACTACCAACATAAAGTTCAAGCTAGGGAGGCAAGAAGACTTTTCACAAGTCAACATGTGATAAACACATCCATAAGAGTCTTATTTTTCTCAACTAGAGTAAAATGTAAGAATAACAAATCATTCTCCTTAACACAGATAGATTCCTGAAACGAAAAAAGGATCAAAATAAAATTGGTGTCAGACACAATTCTTTGGGGTACAAGTCTAACAGGATAGTCCAAGAGTGATGACAACATAAATAAGTCACAAAACTAAAAATATCCAATTAAAGCAAATTATTGCTTTGTTGCATAGCAATGAATTACATAAAAATGATCACTTATTTGTGTTCTCCCATTAAATCTAACACCTAGTTATTTCTTTTTTCTGCTACGTTTTGAAGTTTTTCCATCCTCTAATGGTAGAGAATGACCAGTTTGTTTTAAATGCTGAAATAGTTTATTACGAGAATGAAACACTCTATTGCATTTTCCACAACCCAGTGATTCAGAGTTCGGTGTATCTTTATTAGTGTTAGATTGAGTCTGTTTTTGTCTTTTATTTTTATTCTTCTTCGTATTAGGTTCCTTTGAAGCATTATCCGAGTTTTGCGTATTTACAGTATTCGATTCTGTTGTGGAATTATCATCATCTTTTATTAAACTACCGTCCTTTTCATCCACACCATCAAAGTTTTCTTTCGTGTCTTCAACAGCAGCTGGAGAGTCATTAGCGGTTTCATCATTCAAAATTGGTTTATGTGGTGATGACATTTTATCTTCGAAATCCTCAACTTTAAAAGGGTTGGATGACATCATGTTGCTCAATAGTTTTTCTTGTTGTTTTCTCTGCTTTTTCTGTTTCTTCGAAAGCTTGTTGGATTCAATTTTATCATTAGAATCGTCGTTAATTTCTTCATTCCCTTCATTCAATGTTTCCTCATCAATCTCGTCTTCCATTACTTCATTTTTCATTTCTTGTTGGAGGCGATTTACATTCTCACGATGTTTTTTCGATTTTTTATGATTACGCAATCCCATTTCTGATTTGAAGAGTTTATTACAAGCGACACAAAACAACTCATCTTTGTACTCTTCTTCTTCCTCTCCTTGAGAATCTTCTTCTGAAGATGTAAACCCAAATTCGTGTTTCATCATTCCTTCTAATTCCGCCACTCTTTCATGATGTTTCATTATTTCTTCTCTATTTGATTCATCATAAAGTGCAGCTTCTTTCACCCTTTCATGTATAGCGGAGGCACGTCTCTCCTCAGCCTTGCGAGCTTGTTCCATCGCAACTTTTTCTAATTCTACTTTGTGAGCTTTCACACGTGGATCTCGTTTTCTTACAAATGCCACCAATTCCCTAACAAGTTCATTTCGTACTTTTTTGTGCTTATCACGCTCCTTTTTATTTTCTTTTTCAATAATTCGAGCAACTCGTCGATTCGGAGCCTCTTTTACATCATACCGATTAACCCACACAAAAGACATGGAAGTTGAATAAGCTTGCCATGAAGAATAGAAGCTATGTACAACATCATCATAATTACTATTACCGTCTCCAAACACAGGCATATTATCTTCATTATCTGAACCATCAGATCGAAAAGGTTCATCTTCTGAATTGATTTTTATGAAAACGTCACGATATACTGAATAGAAGCCATTATCATCATCACCAAATCCTTTATAGGCAGACGGAGTGAAATAGTCAAATAAATCGATTGAGTTGTTTTTATAATTTTCATACTTTTTACGATGAAGTATTTCTTCTCTATGGCGATCATACCAAGCTCTCTCCTGGGGGTCAGATAATACATCATAAGCAGCTTGAACAAGTCGAAAACGTTCAGTTGCTTCTTCAAGTGAATCAGGATTTTTGTCTGGGTGATATTTCAATGCTGCCTTTCTGTAAGCTTTCTTTATAACGTCATCATCAGCTTCTAAGTCAATCCCTAATATTTTGTAGTGACATTCCATTATCAATTTTATATTTGGTATAGAATATACTAAATACTGAAAACTTATTTGAAAAACATGTCTATTAGCCAAGTTAGTTCTGCGGTTATTTTTAGTGCTCATACAATCAATCAATAGGATGATATATTTAGCATGCTTAGATGAAAATGATAAGTTGAGACATCCTTTGTGCGTCGAGTACCGTACCGTACCTGGTACCGGTACCGTGCCTTCCGACATATAAGCACGTTTTCTTGTCACTTTGTTACCATTTGCACAGTAGGTATTGTAACCAAACACATTTAATTTAATATATTTAACCTTACTATTGAAGTTGTTATTATAAACAGCCACCTTTCCATCTCCCATTACAAGAAGAGCCTCCGCACAGTTGCAGGCTAACCCGTTAACCGCCGTCGCATGGCGAGTGGTCCATGGCGAGTTAGCCTCCACCCCACTAAACTACCTACAGACAGTATGTCGGTACCGGTTCATCCCATTCCAACATTTAGTCTCAGCCATCATTAACAAATGTACTGCTGTACCGGTACGGTACCGTATGCTAGTTAAACTTTTCTTCGTGAATGGTACATATTATAGTATTACTGTTAACCGATATATTAGTCCTTGCTGTTAACATACGGGCTCAGTTTCAATGAGGTTAAAGGTCAGATTATATTTACGTACATGATTTACTGGTAGATATTATACAACAGGGTGCATATATTGCCTACATTCACGATCATTGCTATACATAACCAATTCATTTATACTCATTTAAAACAGCAAAAAGCGTCATTGAAGGTTCTCCAGAGCATCGGCTTTATTGTTAACTATCGTTAAATGTGTAATCAGCAAGAAGCAACGACTAACATACCAGAGCCATTATATAATGGCTCTGAACATACCAAGAAGTCAACGGTGACATAAAAAGCTCAGATACTTCCTTCACTCAGACGCATTTTCAGGCCACAGACAAAATATGTTCAGGCACACTAGTAGACATTTGGCATTGTTTTGCGTTGTTGCCAGTCTTATTTGTAAAGCTGGGATTTCACAGTCCCGGGTCGTTTGGGGATTATAAAAATGTTAAAAACTTGGCATTGGCGCGTTAATAAAAACACATAAACGCTGTTATTGTGATTTAAACCGTAGTAGTATATATTTACGTTTAAACGTAGTAGTATATACTCACGTTTAAACTGATGTATGGTGCTTCATAGTTTAAGGCGCTTCATGGAAATTTTCTAGGTACTCTGATTACTTTATCTAGATTTGTAAAGCAAAGCTTTCTGCATCACAGCAAACTACTGGGACTGACGCAGAACTCGTCAACATGGAAAACTCGACACAGAAGATTTGCCTGTCTGCGATGGTAGACGAGTTTTTGATGTCTAACTCAAATTGACTGGTGGGTTAATAATGGAATGGGAATTTATCTGTGGTGGTAGAGGCGGGAACAATGATTTCAACGCGAAACGCTGTGGGTGAATACTGTCGAAGGGCCTGGCGTGATTTGGATAAATTTGTATTGTCTGAAAATGTAGGATTTCATGCAGTTCTTACTTGAACAGGATAAGATATGAGGATTAACATATTTATCCCGGGGCGCGGAAAGCCGATAAGACGGCTTAATCGTTTGGCGAACCACGGCCTGTCGTCCGGTTACCAGTCCAGGTCGGGCATGGGATTAGTTAGCCAGTTATTTGTTTTTTCGGAAGCATGAACTTAATGATGGAGGAGGCCGTAACCGACCAGTGGTTACGTGACCCACCCTACGGCGACGAGGAGTCCAGCAATCCTCTCGCACATGATCATCCCCGCATGGGATTCGGACCTGCGAACCCACGGATGGGTAATCAGAAATGCGGTGGCGACATTACATCAGTATGATATTACATTATATAATTACAGTATAAAAGTACGTATAGGATCGCATAGAACAGTGGTGCACAACTCAAATGAGGATATGTGCCAAATTTTTCAAAATAATCTTGTCGCGTGCCACGCACAATTTTTGGTATTGTAAACAAACTCCCGTATAACATATATCAAACAAACTTCAATAATAATACATAATAACGAATATATATTTATTGAAACGATTCGATCCCGTGAAAAACCGCTGATTTGAAGACGTTTTTGTTGGACCAAATTTGAAATGTTGAGCTTCAAGGGAGAAATAGCGATTTGCATCACTGAATCTATATGCTCATCTAGTAAACGAGTCCGTAGCTGGAATTTGTTTATTTTCATGATTGAGAATGCCTGTTAACAACTGTACGTGCTTGCAAATTAACAAATCCAGACTTTTGAATTTCTCAACAAAACTGGATAATTCTCTTTTTCGAGGCGAGAGTAGAACTCAAGTATTGAATTTTGTTGAAAAACATCCTGCAAAACTTGATTTGACCTCAAATCCAGAAGTTTCAGTTGAGCGTCAGCGTCCTCAATATATTCAACATCCACACTCAATGGTCTTTGAAATAAATTCATTTGCCCCTTCCGGTCATTATAATCTTGAAAGCGTTTTGAAAACATTTGACGAAGGTCACTGCACATTATAGCATACTTGTCAAAGTCAGGAACCAAGCTTTTTTCCTGTAAAAATATTTCAATTTCTTCAAAAAGGCTAAGAAAGTGCTGCAAAAGTTTCCATCGACTTAACCGGCAATCTTGAGAGTGATGCACAAAGTCCTTGTATTGTGTATTCATCTCCAACAAGAATGCTCGAAATTGGCGGTGCTTCAATCTATTCGACAGAATTTCATCCACACATTTTACAATAACGTCCATAACATGAGTCATCTTTATACTGTGGCGTACCAAAATTGATATCACCGCTCAGGTTCTTTCTGCCAGCTTATTGGACATTGAAGTTGCACTAGATGTCAATCACGAAATAATCTTCTTGCGGTTCCAAATACAGCAGAGTAACTAATTTAACTAACTAGATTAATTATACACCTGTAAGAACTTAATACAACCAAATACTCCAATAAGAAATACAATAAACAAATAAAAACACAGTACAAATACCGTAGGATACATACGAAACAAAAAGATACGAAATTGGTCTATGACGTCACAGTCATGAACTATTTACTTATAATGGGATATGAAAAACCGGGTAAAACATACCTAGATATACATAAGAATAACTAGTATGACACTAAAGATACAACACAAATCCTATCTTACCGACAAACACGTAATATACTTGGAAATCCGCATAGAAATATGGAAATCACACAGGAGATGAAGTGCGAAAATAGACTAGTTACGGAAGTGTTAAATACAAGCTAACTAATGAACAGAGCTATGCCAAACTGGAGAAATAGTAAACCTGTACTACTAATATCATTTTACAACAAGAATTACATATATTTACGGCATTAAAACACTATAATAATAACCTAATATACAGAGGAATATCTACACTGCCGGCAGTCTGACAAACCAGCTACAAGAGAAAGTTACACAGTTGTTCACTAGTGACTCAAGTGGTAAGAATAAATATGGGCGAACAGAATAAAACAGAGTTATAGACGTGGTCGTCTCATTACTCCCCCCTGTTTCAGATGGGAAATTACAAAGAAATTTTCCATCTTCAAAATTGAAAATCCATAAAAATATGAAGAAAATATAAAGAACTGCACACTCAAATGAAATGTCTATCTAAAATCAAAACAATGAATTGTTAAAAACATGATAGAAACACTATCACAGTCAAATCAAATGTAATCATCCAAATATCTAGGCCTTCGCCTAGTACGTTGCTTATTATCAGAGTTCGCATCAACTGTATCTTCTTCTGGTACAGTGTCTGGCCTTGAAGAAAAAGGTAATTCTTCAAATATATCATGAGCAACCTGCTCATTATTTTCCATAATAGGTTCCACATCAGGTAAAATGTCAAATCCAGTTAAGTCAACATGCACAATTCGAGAACGTGTTCCCGAATTCTTCTGAATCCTATACAAGTGATTAGGTAAACAGTCCACAATTCGATAAGGTCCAATCCAAGGAATACTCAGCTTGCGATGCTTTGGTGGATAATAATACCACACCAATTCATCTCTCTGGAAAGTAAGTGGTTTTACACCCAGATCAAAATTTCGCTTTTGTCTGGTTGCAGCAGCATTTAGATGTTGCCTAGCATGAAGAAAAGCTTTTTCGGTTGCACAAGAAAACCATTCGACAAATTCAGTGTAACAAGGATGAGTTGATGACTCTGGTTTGCCAAACATAACATCAACAGGCATCTCGATTTCTCGTCCAAGCATTAACTTGTTCGGTGAATATCCTGTACTATCATGTACAGTGGAGCGATATGCCATGCAAAGGTATGGGAGATGATCGTCCCAATCATTTCGATTCTCATTTACAAAAGCTTTCAACATTTGTTGTATAGTCCTGTTGAAACGTTCAACTTGCCCATCTGAACGGGGATGATATGGAGTTGTTCGAGTCTTTTGAATACCGTACAATTGGCACATTTCTGAAAACAATTTCGATTCAAAGTCTCTTCCTTGATCTGAGTGGAGAATTCTTGGTACCCCAAATCTTGAAAAGAATTGGGTAACCAATGCATCAGCAGTGGTGACCGCTCGCTGATTTGGTAAAGCAAAACATTCCACCCATTTAGAGAAATAGTCCGACAAAACCAAAATGTGTTCATTTCCATTTTCAGTTACAGGCAATGGTCCAAGAAAATCAATGGCGATCCTTTCCATAGGAGCTCCAGATATAAGTTGTTTCAAATCTCCCTGTCTTCTTCCGTATAGCATCTTGGTCGAAGCACAAGACTTGCAAAATTTGCACCATTTGAGAATGTCCTTTTTGAAACCAGGCCAATAAAATCTGCGCCTTATACTCTTGAAAGTTCGATTGGCACTAAGATGACCTGCAGTGCGCAAAGAATGGAGCTTATGAAACAAGTCGTGCCTCAAATTTGATGGAACAATCAATTGGATATGCGATTCCTCCGATTTACAATCAGGAATCCAACGACGATAGAGAAGTCCATTATCTACAAAAATCAAGTCCCACTGCGACATTAAACGTTCGGTCACTGTTGATTCAGGCATGTATTGTTGAATATCAGGTTTCTGAGCAGTAAGTTGTTTCCATTTCAAAACAGCAGAAATATCTGGA